CACGAGCCAGCAGTCCACCCAACAGGCTCCTAGGGGCTCCGCTGCCTCCCTCTCCGCCCCTCCCCAGCTTCTTTGCTTATTTTTCCTCTTCTTGGACTACATCTCAGTGGCAAGAACAGTGAGAATAGCTTTTCAAGTCCTGAATACGAAATACTCATTTCGCCGACTTGCTGCTCCACAGCGGAAATCTTCGTGCTGACCGCGGGGGCGCTCGCTGCCGCGCCAGCCTCCTGGAGAGCGCCTCGCGCTCGGAGGGGAGCTCGGGGAGCCTCACACGGTCAGCATTCTGCTAATAAGTGGGGAGACAGTGCCATTATTTTTACTTGGACTTTCGCAGTTTATTGGGTTTATTAGGGTGTATACAGGGTGCCCCCCAAAATGCATACACACTTGAACAGCTGATAGCTGTGAAATGAAATGTATTTTAATAAACACTGCCTTTATAATTATTCAAAGTGTGTGTGTACATTTTTGGGGGACACCCTGTATTTCATCAGATGTAAAGTTTATATGTCCTGAGAAACTTAAAAGAAGTGCCTAAGAATGCCCAGAGAAACGCGGCGCCAGGGCGGGCACGCCCCGCCGCGCTAGCTCAGCAGCCGACCCGGGACAGTGCGGCGTCACCTGCGGGGTCACCTGAGAAAAACCCACGCAAGTGGGCGCTGAACCCTCTTGTTCAAGGGTCGACATTTCATTTTACTGCTTTAATCAATGATCTTTGTGCATGGGTTAATATTTACCACTTTAGGGATATTTAAGGTATATTTTCATTCTAATAGACGACTACACGATCACCTCTGTACTTAAAAATTGTTTTTAACCAGGGCTCTCAATCAGAAACTTTCCGCCGGCGCGAAGAAGTAACAGGCGCCCCCCCCNAGGTTCAGCGTCGGCCAGCTCGCGGCGCCCCCTTACCCTTGCGCGGTGGCTTCCCCAGCGGCGCATCCGGGTCCCGACGGGCTAAAGGCGGCGGAATCCTTCCCAATAGGTTCTCAGACTGGATGCGACAGAGCACAGGGTCCCGCTTGCGCCCACGCAAGGAAACGGTGCAGGGCACCCCTGGGAGACAACGCCCAGGCTCCTTCCTCCGCGCGTTCCGGTGTAGAAGTTAACCTCATTTTCCTCTGTGCTTAATGAAAGCATTCCCACTCGGCATACGTACTGAAAATACAAAATCCGGGCTGGCTAATGACACTCATTATGTACTGAAGAGAACTCGTGTTTCTAAAACTTGAATTCAAGGGGAAGTACTTTGTACAGGCCGTCCCGCGGCCTCGCGAGCTGGGCCCGCCTTGCGCAGCCGCAGGACCAAGCTTGCGGAGGCGTCAACGGCCCACAGCCTCGCGCAGCCGCAGGACCAAGCTTGCGGAGGCGTCAACGGCCCACAGCCTCGCGCAGCCGCAGGACCAAGCTTGCGGAGGCGTCAACGGCCCACAGCCTCGCGCAGCCGCAGGACCAAGCTTGCGGAGGCGTCAACGGCCCACAGCCTCGCGCAGCCGCAGGACCAAGCTTGCGGAGGCGTCAACGGCCCACAGCCTCGCGCAGCCGCAGGACCAAGCTTGCGGAGGCGTCAACGGCCCACAGCCTCGCGCAGCCGCAGGACCAAGCTTGCGGAGGCGTCAACGGCCCACAGCCTCGCGCAGCCGCAGGACCAAGCTTGCGGAGGCGTCAACGGCCCACAGCCTCGCGCAGCCGCAGGACCAAGCTTGCGGAGGCATCGACTGTCCACAGCCTCGCGCAGCCGCAGGACCAAGCTTGCGGAGGCGTCAACGGCCCACAGCCCAGCGCAGACGCAAGTGCCGGCTGAGGAGAGAGCCGAGGATCACTCGCCCCCTTCCTTCGCCCCTCAAAGCTTGCGGCCGCGTTCTTCCACTCTCTTCCCCAGCCTTTTGAGTGAATGGCCATGAGCTGGGCCGCGGGAGTCGGGTGGGCCAGCCGGAGGGTGAGCGCCGCGAGAGTGGACTTCCCGAGTGTGGGGCTGGCCCTGTGTCCCCGCCGGCCGGCCTGTATCCCACTCAGGGGCCCTTGGCCTGTTGCCCCCGTGTCCAGGATGGCGACTGTCAAGAACGAGCTTATGAAGAATCTGACTTCCGAGAAGGCCGTTCGTCACAATAAGATCTCCATTATAGGGGCCGGGTCGGTGGGCATGGCCTGTGCTGTCAGCATCGTGCTGAAAGGCCTGGGCGACGAGCTTGCCTTGGTGGACACCGCCGAGGGCAAACTGAAGGGCGAAATGATGGATCTTCAGCAGGGCAGCCATTTCATGAAAATGCCAAGCATCGTGGCAAGCAAGGATTACAGCGTCACTGCAGACTCCACCCTCGTGATCATCACGGCGGGCGCGCGGCAGGAAAAGGGGGAAACGCGCCTTAATCTGGTCCAGCGAAACGTGGCCATCTTTGAGCTGATGATTTCTAGTATCGTCAAGCACAGTCCTCACTGCAAGATGATCGTGGTTTCCAACCCGGTGGACATCTTAACTTACGTCGCCTGGAAGTTGAGTGGAATTCCCAAAAGCCGCGTCATTGGAAGTGGGTGTAACCTGGACACTGCCCGTTTTCGTTTCTTGATCGGCCAGAAGCTTGGTATCCACTCGGAAAGCTGCCACGGGTGGGTCCTGGGAGAGCACGGCGACTCGAGCGTCCCCGTGTGGAGCGGGGTGAACGTGGCGGGCGTCCCGCTGCGGGACCTGAACCCGGCCATCGGGGCCGACGGGGACCCCGAGCGGTGGAAGGACGTGCACGGGGACGTGATCGCCAGCGCCTACGAGATCATCAAGGCCAAAGGCTACACTTCCTGGGCCATCGGCCTTTCTGTGGCTGATTTAACGGAGAGTATTCTGAAGAACCTCCGGAGAGTGCATCCGGTGTCCACCATAATTAAGGGCCTCTACGGGATAAATGAAGAGGTGTCCCTCAGCCTCCCCTGCGTCCTGGGAGAGAACGGCATCTCCGACCTCATAAAGGTGAGGCTGACCCCCGAGGAGGAGGCGCGGCTGCGGAGGAGCGCGGAGACCCTGCGCGCCATTCAGAAGGACCTCCGGTTTCAGCGCCGCTGAGACCACCGCTCCGAGGTCACGGGACGCGGCGGTGAGGATGGGCCGTGCACGTCAGGGTTCTGAATAAACTGGGGTTCTTAAAAGTTACAAACAGGAAAGGACGTAGAGTCCCTCCCCTGCTTATTTAGCCTCCCTGCTCTTTTGTTTAGCTTCCAGTTTTGGTTTTTTAACAATTTCTAAGTGACTGCACCAAAGGTGTTTTTGTACCACTGATGTACCTTGAATTTATATGTAGTTGCCATTTGGTCCAAAAGAATGTGGGGTGTAGGTGTTTATTGTGTTGTAGAAATTGATTCTTTTCATTAAGTACATGCTAATTCATTCTGGCTGATTTATGTACTCTTTGTTTATATACTTTTTTTTTTTTAAGTTGTAACTTTCTCTGCATTGTAAAAATAAATGTACAGAAGTCCTTTCTGTAGTGGAGCCATCAGCTGCCTTCATTCTCCTGACTGCCTGTCAGCAGGGCCTTTAAAAGGACATCAGGAAATAGTAGCTGCAAGCAGGTCCCTGTATTCCTGTGCGTGTGTGTGCCTGTGTGTGTGTGTGCCTGTGCGTGTGCATGTTGCTGTGCACCCTCATGCCAGTGAAGCAGGATCATGAGGTTAAAATATGAAAATAATAGTGATCAGGTTGGTAGCTGTTATGAAGTGTTTAATGCAGTAAAATATAAAGCTTTTAGGAAGAGGCTTGACAGTCAGAGGTGGTACAATTACTGTCATTTATTTGGCAGAGAAAGAAAACATCCTAAAATTTTGCAGTTACTAAAAATAAAGCCTGACTGAAATCATTTTAGAACTGCCTCTGAGAACCTGACCTGTCTGCACTGTGAATCAAGAAGCGTGTTATAAATTGTTCTTATTGGGCTGAGTCTTAGCAGCAGCGTGGCCGTGGCCCTAACACACTCTGGGGTCATCCCTGTTGCTGTTTCCTCACATTAGTGGAAAGCTTTTGCTTTCGAATTGTGCCCCGTTGTCAATCGCTGTCATAAAAATTGGCCATTTCAGTGAGTACTTCAGGGATTGTATTTCTCAAAAAGTTGCACTTTTCATTTTTATTCCTAAATCAATGGACTTCACTACAGATTTTAGACTTTATGCATGTGATACAGTGAGCATTTAGGAGGAAGTGAAGGGGCTTGTCTGACCTTTACCTAAATGATAGTACCATAACTTAGAAAATAAGTTGAGATTTTTTACTCATGTTAGCTTTCCTAATGCAATTGAATATTAAATAAATATGGTTGACCATACTCAGTATCCATGTGGATACCAATAGGCCTAATCAAAAGTGAAGGGTACTAGCATTTACTCTCTAAGTCAGTTCTTAGTTGAATTTAATCATGTAGACACGGGACAGTGATCTGCCCCCAACAGTGACTCTATACCATGCTGATCTGCGTCCCCTTACTATTTCATTGACAACATCTAGAAGTGTCCTGATTCCCCAGGAAGCAGTGTCATGTAATGGGATTGACTGATGCACTGAGAATCCTGAAGGCAGGCAGGGTGCAGGTTCATTTGTTCCAGGTAGTTGTAAGAGCTCTTTATCTTTAAGCTCAACTGTGCAGAGTTCCTCTTCTCCTTGGTCCAAGCCTTGAGTTTTATTTAGCCATGTTTCGGTCAAATTTAATGTCCTGTTGAAGGGCATCAGAGCATGCCTCATGTCTATTTTGTGTTCTCTTCACCATTAATATCAGGATAGGTTGGGTTATGCTGCAGTAAAAAACAATCTCCAAATGTGTAGCTTAAAATAAAAGTTTATTTCTGTCTCATGTAAAATCCACTGTGGGTTTGTTTACACGAGACTCTAGGGAAGCTGTCCTCCACAGCTAGCTCCGTACCTCAGGCCACCTTGACCTCCAGGCGCCACTGTGGCAACACAGGTTTCCATGATTACTGCTGAAAGGGAAGAGAGGCCCGGAGAATCAACACCTGCAGCTAAATGCTTCACCCCAAAAGTGATGCTCACTTTTTCAGATTTCACTTGCCACAACTGGTCACATGGTTACCTAACTTCAAAAAGGGTCGAGAAATCTAATCCCTCTGTATCCACAAGTAGATGAGTACTGGCTCTTCGTGAACATTGATAATAATCTGCCATGCCATTCTAAAAAAAACCGGCCACATTGCAAGAGGTATATATGTTTGTAAAGTAATTTTCAGTGAAGGTCGTAGTAGAGGTTATAGAGGTACCGTGTCTTTCCAGGTCACAGACCACAGTGACTGTCAAGAAAGAGCTCTGGACATCAGTCAGGCAGCTGTACTTATTATAAACCATGTCACCATGAATGGGTTGACCTCTCTGACCTCTGGTTTCTCCATGTAAAGTGTGGTCCTCATTTCTGCCACATAGAATTATGAAGTCTGAATAATTGCCTTATACTTGGTACAGTACTTGGCTCATAGGTGATCCCAGATGGCAGACATTATTATTCCTGTTCCAGTAACATTTACAGTCTTACTGTTTTAGTTTATGAAGAAGCCGAATTTCCCGGTTCTTCAGAATTAACATTGGTGCTATAATTATTGACATATCCAAAGACTTTGGTCCTACAAAGCTTTCATCATTCTAAACCCAGCACTGAGGCTGGCAGCAGACCTGCAAATAAGTTGGCCAATGGCAAAGACACTTTAAAACTTGGAACTTTTGTTGTATAGAGTAGGGGACAGTTCTATGGCAATGGCTGTGATTATCATGGAATTCAGTACATTTATAACCAAGTTTGCCGAAATGTACCCAAGCACTAAATCTTTTCAAGTACATTTTTAAGCAGGGGAGTGTTCTGTTGCCTGTGATAAGAATTTCACCGATAAGACATCAATACCTTCTCTGAACTGCATATCAGAAATCGATATAGGTGGAAAAATTGAAGGTTTTCATTTACTGCACGTAATATAAATAATATAAGCTTTAAAACCTTCTCTGGAGTCCCATTGTTAAAGCAACTTGAGGCCCTGTTTATAACTTCAATGTGGACTCTCGGTTTCCATTTCCACCGCTGCAAATTTAAAGGAGCACTAAATGGTGTTCTTTATGCCACTTGCCTTCCTCCCTTTGCCTCGCTCTGAAGCCTATCTATTCCTAGTGGGCTATTTTTGAGATACGATTCCTTCTAATGGTTCAGCTACTCACTTAGGACCCTGGGAACATGTGAATAATACAATACTTGGGAAATGAGAGGAAAGAAAAAAATCGGGGCCAAGAGGAGAAAATAGGAACAGAACCATGCTGAAGTAGGGCAGCCACCCTTTACTCTCTGACCCCGGCCTCATCTGCGTTTCCCAGCTTCCCCCTTCTCAGCAACTGGCCGTGTTCCAGATCACCGAGAAGGTGGAGCGGTGGATGATTCTGTTCATGTGCCAGCTATCTGACGCTCCATTTGAAAGCTGTCATTAGGCTTAGGTGTATAAGATGTTCAACCAGAAAAGTGAAGGAAAAGAACCAGGCAGCACATTGCAAACCCTAGCCAGAGAGATGTCTGTCTTTCAACTGAGAAAGGCTTATGCACATCTCAATGGGGGTACTTCGTATTTTGGACAAAACAATTCTTTTTGTGGGCCATCCTGGACATTTAGCATCCCTGCCCTCCAAGATGAAAGTAATCCCCTGTGATGTGACAGCCAAAAACCCTACATTTTCAGTCCTTCCCCAGTAACTGCCTCTAGTTAGGAACCTCTCCTGAAGGGTTCATCACAGTATAGCCTAGAGAGCTGCATAGAAGAAGGGGGGGATGTCCCATGGATGTGTGTGTCTTCAAGATTGGTGTCTGGGACCCGACATTGACATGGTTGGCATGGACCTCCTACAGACTACATGTAATGGGTAACCTTATGTATCTTCTAGTGTCAATATTTAAACTAAAATGATACATTACTATAAAATAATGCTTTTAATAAACATACCATAATATTTTATCCATATGACCTTTGTTCTTGGAATATAGCACATGTATTTTGATGACGCTGTAATGACAATAGCTAATTACATTGAACACTTACCACATGTTAGGTGCTGTGCTTTATGTGTATTATCTCACTTAATCCTCACAACCCTGTAAGCAGGTAATTGTCTCCATTCTACACACCTGGAGACTGCTGCTTAGCATAAGCAGCTTTTCCAGGTGTTGAACTGGGATTTACACAGAGAGGTCTGCCAGAGTCTGCTGCTAACAGCAGTGCTAAGATGACCAGAATGAATACCTAGGCACTGACAGGTCCCAAACAAGATGCACCCCCTGAATTTGGATTTGGGTTCAAATTGAAATAGGTAAGCATCACCGTAAAAAAGAATTAGCCGACTCTCAAGATAACCCCTCTACGAATGACGTGCATGTGGCTGATGAGCCCGGGTGCCTCACATACCCGTCATGGAGATCTGCGTCCCTGGGATACACGATGGGCGGGGCTGATGAGAAACGGCAGAGCTACACTGAGTGCTTCTGAAAGAGCCTCATAGCAGGACCATGTCGATTAAGAAGAATGAGCCAAAGAGCATGTGCTAGTCCTATCTAACGGAAAGATCACCCAGCTCCCATAAATCAGTGCTCCCCTCCCTGAGGGCGGTGTGCCTCACAGGTGGAGCCAGGTGCTCCAGGCTGACCCTGGATATTAAGATCTTCCAACCCCCTGCTCTGACTCTCGGGTTCCAAATCAGCCTCCCCTGGTAAAGCCTCTGCCTAGATTCTTCAACACTGTCTGGCACATAAAAACGTTCTCATTTATCTGCCATTCATTGATTTATTCTTTTATTAACTCCCTACTAAGTTTCTTCTCTCTGCGCCTCTCTGGCTCTAAAATTCTTCTAACTTGGACCGGCCTGAGTGTGTCCATGGGTTCAGATACACAACTCTCGTTCTCAGCTGCATCTTTATATGAGAAAGCCAGAAACGCACACTCTCCTGGGAGTGACTATTATGCAGGGTTGACAGGGGAGAGTGCTTTCCAGATTCAGAGTGGAGTTTGTTACTTAAGGCCCAATACATTTATACTTAAAGAAAACAGGTGTATCTCATTTTCAAGGCAGCTGGGATAGCTCCTTACCTTTTATTGGTCCTCCTTGGCTCTGTGCCCCCGAACAGCGAGGTATCATCCAGTCAGCAGCCGTCCTCTATAATTGTTTGGCTCTTTTCCCTCCTTTTAACATTTGATGAACTTTTCCCTTCTCTTAGATGAAAGACTTTCGAAGCAAAATGCAATCAATATTTCCAGCAATTCCCAAGAACTCCGAACCTGCCGTGGAGTGGGAGGAAGCGCTGAAACCCAAATGAGATGCGCACGGCGGCTGAGTTCCAAAGCAACTGTCATGGAGGGAGGCTCTGGGGACGCCGAACAGCAAAGGGACTCACTGGTTTCTCCTCAGGAAGATGTACGGTTGTTGTCCAAACCCGCGGGACAGACGGTGTTGGGTGTGTTCACAGTCCTGCAATTTAGTGTAAAACGCCCGTGCATGTGCGTATGTGATGGGGGGGCGGGGCGGGGGTGGGGGAATAAAGTTTTCCCAAAATTAGGAAGACTGTTTTAAAAACAATGATATGGATACCTTCTCTATGTGGAGGAGATCCCCGGGGAAATACTTGTGTGTGACTGAAGCAGTTGAAACCAAGTTCTGCACCTGAAAAAAAAAAGTGTAAGAGCCTGTGATGGAAAATCTTGATAACAGACTCCTAACAGCAGCAGCACGTCAGTGTGTCTAATTACGTGAGTTCAACAGTCTTCCGTCAGCCTGTGACTGTCAGGACTTGGGAGACTCGTGCCTGCCAGGCAGACTCGGGTGCCGCCTAGGGCAGTCCTGGCCTGGGCAGGGCTGGGCCCTGTCCCTCGCAGTGCTCCTGTTGGCACGTGCCCTTTACCTGATAACCTCACCGACCGTCCTGTGAGTTCTCCCAGGGACAAGAAGCCAGTAAGGGGTTATAACTTGAAAAGGTACAGCTGTGCTAAAATAAGAATGACATCACAGGTGTAAAATGTAGTCTTTTTAGAAATTGGCTCGGAGTCCCGAAACGGTAACTGGCAGTTTGTAGTTTTGTCTCAGTTGTCAATGGAAAAATTGCCCAGTTATCACCTGTCGTATTTTTAACCAGAAAGTTACCTGAGTGTTACGTCTCAGTATTAAGCATTTAGTTCCACCTGGCTGATGAAACGGGTAAATTCTTATGTACACACCCACCCCTTTTCTGTCCTCCATGAGCTCTTACAGAAAACAGAATAATGGCTAGTTGCAATTATTCTTACTGGAGATTTAAAAAATTTAAAGAAAAATAATATGTCAACATGTCCAGAAAAATAACCTCTGGTTGAATATAATTTGTGCAATCTCTTTCTTTGCTCAGGCTCTAATTAGCAATCAGGTTTAATAAAGTACATTTGAAATTAACCTGTTATAATGGAACCTTTTAGTTCTAAGGAAAAGTTTTAAATGAAATGTCAAGTGTATAACATACATTTTTCCCCTGGACCGCGTTACCCTGTTCAAACTGCTGCATTATTAATTAATTCTGGGATCCATATGTAACCTGTCAAAAATTCCCAGGCTAAACAGAAAGGGTTGTGGAGTAGCAAAGCTCCTCTTCACCCACCTTTCATTTTTAACTAAATCTCAGCTAAGGAAAGACTTCTAGTTGTTGCTTCACAACCTCCCTGGGAGCTTCTGAAACGGCCCTTACTCGGAGGGCAGGGCAAGACCGAAGGAAGGGGCAGGCCTCTTCGGAGGGGCAGGTGGCGGGTTTAAGGAATGTCCTTACGAGCATTGTCCTGGGCACCACAAGACTGAGTAGTTTTCCGCACCTGTCCATTGACTCTTAAAAGTTATGTAGAGGCCGTAACAGGTCAGTCATGTACACCATCCAGAGTCTCAATGCCACATTTCTGTCTCAAGGCTGCATCCTCGCGGTAGCTTCTAGGAGCCGGGAGGGCAAGTGGAGCGCACGTTCCAGAGACAGGGGAGGTGGTGGGGAGCCTCCTAGTGCCCGGGGTCCAGCTCTCGGGTCAACTAGCAATCACATCTCCATGACCTCCCTCAACATTGGCCTTTGAATGAAATGAAGAAAGGCTGGAATCCAATTGAACAGGTTTTTGCCACATGATTAGTCTGAGTCCAGGTTCCCCTAATAGAATGGGAGCTACCTACAACTACTTACAGCTAAAATCTAGATTTTTATTTTTCTTAGGTGGAGAATAGCTATTGATTTTTTAAAAGCCCTCCACTGGGTAGGAGAAAATGAGAATTTCTAGCTTGTCTGGGATAATAAAAGGAAAAATCATTATTAATCTTGATTCTATTTAATAGATTCCTGCCTTGTAAGCTCCTTAAGGGTAGGGACTCCTCTCAGGGCCTTGTGACAGCACCTACTGCCCGGGCCAATGGCAGCCAGACCCTGGGAGGGTGCCAGGGGCCATGGTGGTGCGCTCTGCCCCCTTGGGGCCTGGCGGAACGACCATCTGAATACATAGAGTGTGGCATGCCTAGTGTTTACAAAACCTTTTCCGCATACATATATCTGTGCTCCCTGAGGGATGGCAGGGATCACATAGGAATGGTCGTGAGTCACCTGCTGAGGGAAGTTTGAGGGGACAGAGTCCCTAGAATAGGCACTAAGCATAGGCTCTGGTTGCATTTAAAAGCCCAAATGAAATAACAAAGATGAAACTTAAAAGGCAAACAATCAGTGTGACTGAAGTGGTATTTTTCTGCACTCAGAACTCAGATATCGGAAGATGTAGTCATTTGTCTGCTTTTCTACCAGAGGCACATTGTTAAATTGGTTAATGGAAAATAAAAATGTTTAACAGATAATGTTATTCTTTATGTGAAGCACCATCTGCGTATTGAGTTCTGAGTGTTCCTGGATATGGGAGAGAGGAAACGTTACGGAATTTCAAGTCTGCCTTCTCTGCTGTCTTTATCTCGGGTAGAGTGTGACAAACATAATCACATTTATCTCCTGGAGCATAAAGAGTTTTAATCACCCTATTAACCAGGATGACAGTTTTCACAGACTTAAAAAGGAGTAGAGCAGACGTTATCTCCCCATAAGCAATCCATTTCATGGGGGCTGAGCACTAGAAATTTTTTAAGGGCTGTGTAACTTGAGCCATTTCCATTCCCCGCGTGAGCCAACACTAAGGCAGCTTTCCGTAAGCACGTCACTTACACCAGTTGAGCATCAAGCTTTGTATTTAGAATCTCAGCCCCCTAAAGGGCTGTTAGAGAAACCAATATACAAAAAACTTGGTGGGCAGAGAAGGGGTGATTTCCTAGGCCTCGGGATTTATTCAAGGGAATAAATTGCTGAGTTATTGCTGTCCTGTAGAAATGAATCCAGAGTCAAGAAAATGTGGTTCCCGGACAACCTAGGAATGAAAAATAGGGCATGGGAACCGCCTCGAAAGATGCCTGGCAGTCTGTGTCTACCTGAAACACGGGTTCTAATGACACAGAGGCGAGCGGCCGCCGAGGCCCAGCAGAGCTGAGGTGTGGCTGTGGGTGACCCTCGCTCCATCTCGCTGACCCCTCTGGCCCCAGGGAAACCTTTCCTCACCTGCTCAGACAAAACGTGACGCCTAATCTCACCCATCATACATTCTGCTCAGTTTCATGGCCAGTAAGGGACTCAACTTGCAAATTAATCATTGCAACCTAAGGGGAAAATATAAGAAATTAAGGGGGGGAAGCCCATGGGGACAAAAGTAATTAAAATCCACTATTTAGCTATTTCACTTGGGGCAAAATTTAATCTCCTAGGTCTGGTTCATGAAGAATGTTGTATATTTCACCTTGTCTTCATGTAGTTTTCTCTACAAGTAAAACAAATAATTAAGTACAAATGAAAATCAGCTAGGTAAAAAAAATTAAAAATTTTCTCTAAATACATTTCTCATGAAAGGCAGCAGAATACACATTTTTATAGTATTTTATCACGTTCAAGTGGGATTTGTTTCTTTTCTGCCAAGAGTCACTGAACGTGTCAAGTGTTTGGGCCTGTATTGGTGTCACCGGGATTGATGATCAGAGGCTGTGACTCGGTGAGTCTAGAAGACGAAAGTAAGCACCTCTTGCAAGCATGACATTCATCTGTAACGAGTGAGGCTGTTGGCCAATTTTGTCTGAGGCAGATAACTCCGTTTTGGAGAAAGTGAGACCAGCAGTTACCAGGAAGCACACAGGTAGAGTTTCAACTTTGCTGCCCAAGCAGCAGCAGTGATTTGGGCCAGACCCTTTGCTTCATTCTGCGAGGCCTGATCACTTACTGAAAAGGAAAACAAGGGTAGAAAATAGACAGGAGAGGGTATCCGTGTTCGTAATGACAGACGGGGTAGAGCCACTCTCAATGGACTCTCCTAAGAAGCTGAATCTGGCGAACAGGACGCTTGGTGCATTTATGGAACACCTTCTACCTGCTCGTCTGAAAACACTCCCTAAACTCGCCTTCCCACTGCTGTTGACCCCTGGGCCCAGAGTGGGGTCCATGTCTGCAGCAGTCACAGGCACTTGGGGGACACATCCAGGGGGCTGCTGGGGAACAAGGGGCGGGGGCGCAGACCCGGTCTCCAGCACGCACAGGCTTCCAGCTGAAAGGAGCACGTTGACAGAACTGAATCTAAACAAAAGCTTGAACCTGACAGTCTTACCGAGCTGTGCCAACCTCTGCAGAGCCTCTTTGCTCTGCCAACCTGGGTGATGGGCGTGCACTTATTTTTATTTATTGCTACTGGTTGTCTTCTCCAACTGTCCCTGTTGTGGGGGCTGAATCCCTGTTTCCTACTCTGAGCGAAGCCCACGGTAGACGTCCTCACTGGAAACCTTGCCGGTGGGTCGTCTACATGGGCTGTCCCTGCCGCCACCCCGTTGGCCAGGGCCCTGAGTTGAAGTTCTACTCTGAGAACCGGGAGAAGAGCATTGGGAACACCATGGGCGTGGCTCACCTGGGCACGGAGCTGTTCATTGAAGAACCTAGACAGAAACCAATCCACCACCCACTTCCCTGTGAACCCAATGTGGCCTGGAAAGAAGTCCGATAATTCCACCTAATGGACTCAGTTTGTGCCTTTGATGTGAGCCGCAGCATATCTTACGTTTCACTAGTCACTAAATCATTCTGAGCTGGGCGCCATCACACATTAATTACTCAGCATGACAAACCCTCGGGTCGGCTGGTTTTCCTGGGCTGTGTCTGCCAGGAGACAGCGGGGGTTATAGGAAAGTTCGGGCTGGCAGGTTAATAGCATCCCTCCTGGTACCAATGTGTGATGCCACACTCCGTGCCTGGGCTTTAAGAACTAGAATTAAAAACTGCTCTAAATACACAACAGGCCGAGAGTCTTACGGGCCCTGAGCCATCCCGATCAGGTCAATGACTATTCTCCGTGGCTCCAAACTTCTAAATCACCGCCTGCTCAGTGGCCCAAGAGCTGCGTCACCCACGCTGGTCAGTGGTGATCTCCGCCGGTGGCCGGTGATGGGGCAGACCTGCAGCAGACACCGTCTCCCAGACCAGCCCCTGCAGCAGGACAGCGAGGGATTCCTGAGCTAAATGGGGCCCCGGGAGGCCTGTACCTCTAAGTACCTGTGTGTGTTTGTTCCAAAAATCATACCAAAACCACCCGGTAACTGCAGGTGCCCCCTGGCTAAACAGAAGGCACCTCTTGTGAGGCGCAGGGCACCCACGCCCCCCACCCTGGGCTGCTCCCCACCTCTCATTCCTCCCTTTGTTTTATTCTGAGGTTGCAGGAAGGCGATGCCACAGCTCCCCCTTGCCTCTGCCTCCTGCCTCACCTGGGCTTTCTCCATTTCCTTGTTACCTTCCAGTCCTCCCCCTCCTCCAGGAACACCTGGAAAAGCAAGACATGACCCTGTGTGAGCAAAGGAACATTTACTCCACCTGGGGGAAGTCTTCCCAACCTCTTAGCTGGCAGGGCAGGGTGGGGCAGGGCGGGGGGTTCAGCATCCCTGGGTTTGGATGCTCTGCACCACCCCCTGCAGAAACCTCTTCAGGTGTCGGGACAGGGGTCACTTGTGTGGATCCTACCCCAGGACCAGCCCCAGCTCTTCAGAAGGAGACTCCAGTGAGCCGCATGTCGGCAAGTTAAATGAGCCTCAGCTGTTTCTTTTTGCACTCAGCACGAGGACCTGATGATGCGTGATTTGCGAGCCCCTTTTCCTGTCTGGGACCCCCAGGGCGGCCTGTGAGCTCTGCCCGGTGCCCCCAACTTGGTTAGGAGCGTCCTCCCTGGCTCTGGGCTGGTCATTTCCCAAACTTGGTCCTTGTTTATGGGGAGTTAAGAGTCTCTGTTCAGTACTGCGATAAACATTTTCTTTGCAGCTAAAACTCCTTTATGACAAACCCCATTAAACACATTTTTAAATTTTTCACAGTCATGCAGCACCCATGTAGCCAGGCCACCCTCCCCCAGGGGTTTTCAGGGGCCGCTGGTGGGGGGAGGGGCACCCTGTAAGCCTTCTCCAGACTCCCAACCTCAACCCCAAGCCTGGCCCTCCACTTGCAGCTGGGATGACTTTGGGCAAATGGCCCACGCAAGCCCACTGTCTCCATCTCTCAAATGGGTACGAGAACTCCCGTCTCCACGCTGTTGAGAGGGTTAAATGTCTGGGCTGCTTAACACAGCAGCGAGCCCCTGACACCCCCCAGCTGGAGTTCTGGGCATACTGGGTTTGATGCTGTTTGGTTTACACTGAATAACCCTGAATGTGCCTCCTACAGTGTTCTCTGTTCACCCCCTCCCCCCCCAGGTAGGCTCCTTCCAATGTTTGGGTCCCCAGGTCTTGCCCATCTCTCACCTGTCACCCAGCAGGTGGCAGCCCCCTCCAGCCGGGGCTCCAGAGGCCACACTTGCTGGTGAAGCAGGCACCGTTGGGGGACAGTCCCCACCTCCACCATTGTAGCACACCCCTGATCACTCAGGGACCACTGGGCATCTAAAGGGGGACAGGGAGGATATTTTGACTGAGAGAATGGACTGGAAGGAGGGACCATGGCCAGTGCTGGTGGGGCACCTGCCTCAGGCGGCCAGCAGAAGGCGGCAGAGCCCAAACCTGAAGATCAGACATTCCTGAGCCCGGTCCCTGCTCAGGGCTCGGGGCATGCAGGGGTGGATTGTAGACTGCACTTTAATAGGCCTCCTTGGTGCTTAACTTTTCTCGTTAAAGGAGAGAAAATGCGAGCGAATGGCAGAACTGTAACTGAGAGGGACCTGGTGATGTCTCTGGAGGGTGAGGTGTTTGAACCACAAGGTTGCTGTGGACAGGAGTGCAGCAGCCACCCTGGGACCATTCTCAAATGCTGATGTGACAGGCACCTGCCCGTTAACAGCATTAGAGAAAGTAGGGATCACTCGGGTTCAGGGAAGGTGAGGTCCACACCTGCTGGTGGCAGCACCTCAAGGCCCCTGCAGGGACTTCCAGCCACTGAGCCCAGGGTCTGATCCCACTGGGTCCCACTGGGAGGAAGAATTAGAAGAATTCCTCCTTGGGGAGGAACGGTCACTTCTCCAAATAGTCGTGCCTCGTTTTATTGTGCTCTACTCCCCTGCCTCATAGAGGTTACATTTTTTTACAAATTGAAGGCAAGGTCCCCCACCAGCCAAAAGATGATGACTCATTTAATTTCGATATTTGCTTTTTTGCAGTGGTCTGGGACTGAACTTGCAATATATCCGAGGTGTGCCTGTAATAATAGCAATGGTCCCTGACCCAGCCCTGGTTCTGAGTGTCCCTCGCACCCTGATAGCCGCCCCTTGCCCCTCGTGGGGCACAGGGGTATGGACAGAGGCAGCCAG